AAAAAAAAAACCAACCAAACAAACAACAACAACAAACATGTTGGTCTTGCAGAGGACCCAGGTTCAGTTCCCAGTACCCACATGGTGGTTCACAACCATCTCTACTCCAGTTCAAGGAGATCCGATGCCATCTGACCTCCACAGGCACCATGAACACATGTGGTGATGTTGTGTGACCAAACCTTTCCTGGGGAGACACAACATATAAATCTACTCACCCCAGATAGGTAGCCCTTGACAGACAAAAGTACCAGAATCGTATCTACCATCAAAGTCCAACTTGATTAACCAGCGAGTTTTATTGAGGTCAGTGACAGGTGTGTGGGTGAGGGGTAACTTACAGGAACCGAAATGACTCAGACATTTGCATCACCAAAGCCCACCCCAGCATGGGTGACAGTTCACAAAGCAGGGAACCTGGAGCACACTGCACAGCCTGTAGGCAGCTCAAAAAGTTGAAGAGTGTCCTTTCCAGGTGCCTGAGTTGGCCTAAGCCTCACCCAGGCAGCTCGGTCGGTTTCTGCTTCTTCCAGGAAGCTGGTCTGGTCTCAAGAGTCTTTTTTGCAGCCTGGCTTGTCTAAGAGGGACTCTCAGCTTTTATAGCTGGTAGAGAGAGGCACAGTGAATCTGATCAGTTTCAGGGACTTCCTGAAGCTATTTTGAGTCCTTTACCATTCATTCTGCTTAAAGAACTTGCAGGATGGAATGTTTCAATCTCAGAGGAAACTATTGTGTGAACATGTGCGCACATACACACACACACACATACACACACACACACACACAAAACACACACATTAAAAAAAAAAGGCAGGTATGGTAGCATATGCCTGTATTCCTATCATTTGGAAAGCAGAGATAAGAGGACACTTGTTTGGAGCTCGCTAGTCCGCTGGCCCAGCCTACTGGGCAAGTTTCAAGGCAGTGAGACACCCTGTCTCAAAACACAAGGCCAGCTATGGGAACAGCTTGGTCAGTAAAGTGCTTGTTACACAAGCATAAGGACCTGAGCTTGATCTCCCAGAGACACGAAAAAGTTGGGGACAGCAGCCTGTGCTGGTAATCCCAGCCCTGAAAAAGGAGAGACAAGGGGAATGGATCACTGGGGCTCACTGGACAGCATCTAGCTGATCTGTGAGTTCCAGGTTCAGTGAGAGACTCTAAAAAAGAGCATCTAAAAAAATGCAGATGGATAGTGACTGGGGAAGATACCTGACATTGATCCCTGGCCTTCCCACAACATGCACACCCATGTATACACACAAACATACATACACACACACATAAAAACCACGATTTAAAAAAATAAACATGGTGGACAGAGTCTAAGCAGTAACAATTAAGGCTGTCCTCTGATTTCCACATGCAAATGTAAATGTGCATGCAGGGTGAGTGAACACACAAACACACACACACACACACACACACACACACACACACACACACGCTCACTTCAGGGACTCTGTGCATGGAGTGACATCATCACTGGGAATACAAATGCTCTGAGTCTAACATGTTAAATGCAATCTCTCCCCAGCTCCCTTCTTCTCAAGGACATAGACTCCCAGGATGGTTCTCTCCTCACTCCACACTCCTAGCATAACTCTGTGCTTCCTCCTGCAGCCTCCCATGAACATTTCCTGGAAGAACAGTGCTGAATTGATGGCTGTTCTGGCTCTGCCTGTTCTGTTCACTGCCTCCTCCGGTGAGCTTGTTGATCTTGCACAAGATTTAAAAATTTATGACTCCCTCAGAAGATGCTGCAAGATGAGCGAACAGGAGCCCGCCTCAGTCTCACACAGCAAAGGAGGTTCTCCAAAGCCATCAGCAAGACAGACACTCGGGGAAGGGGTTAGAGGGAGAGCCGGGCTCATAGCCCAAACTCAGGCCTCCCCTCCCTAAGCCCGTTTCCCGGCTGCATGCTGGAATCGTGGAGAAACGGTTCAGAGAGGAGTGGAGGATCCAGAAAAGACAGTGTTCAAGTACTGAACACACAGCCTGCCACACCGACAGGACTCAGTGAACAACACGGGCAGTACTACACTCCCAGCCTGCCTTGAGCTGGAATGGCTGGTGCTGTGGGAGGAGCTACTCTGTGCCATTCCCATCTGAGGTCCCCTAGAGTTGGTACAAGGGTCCCCTCAAGGATGGAGAGTGAATGTGGGACCTGGCAGATGGGAACAGCCTGGTGATCTATTATGGCAGCCTGCTGTGATTTCACTGGTCCCCCAAAATCCATCTGTCGAAAACTTAACCCCCCAAATTCATGTGTTTGATCATATAGAGATGTGATTAGGGTTAGATGATGTCAGGCAGGTTGGGCCCATGATAGCAGCATTAGCGGCGTTACATTGAGAGAAGGGACCCTTGAGCAGACACCCTTTCTATCTAACAGGTACTGACTTGTCCCTCTGCCACTGGACGACCAGTACAAAGGTCATCACCAGATGGCACCATACTCTGGACTTCCCAGTCTCCAGAGCTGTAAACTAAATAAACTTCTGTTTCTGATTGACCAGTCAGTGGCATTCTGTGATAGCATCAGCAAACAGACTAAACCACAGCCTGAGCCCACTAACACATCCCGTCTGTACCTGCAGTATTCCACATGGGCACACGAGTGCTCTGCCAGTGAGAGGCCCAGAGTGAGGACAATATAGATGTCTCACCAAGACCACAGTCCATGACATGTAAGACAAGTAAAAAGCAGATACGTCCTGCAGGAGCCACCAGGTCCTGGGGGTTCCATACACAACTCAGCCCATCCTGACTTTTAGGCATCATTATCTTCAATATTGATGGATTGACCGAGGACGTCTGTGGGCCACAGCATGTGTGTAAAGATCAAAGGTCAGCCTCCGGTGCTGGCCCTTCACACTCACCTGTTCGCATCTGTGCTTCATACTCCGGGCTCCTGGCTGCAGAGCTTCTCGGGGATCCTCCTGCCTCGACCTCCCATATCGCCATAGCTACTCTGAGACTACAGATATAGCCCACTGAACCCAGCTTTACACAGGTTCAGAAGATTTGAACTCAGGTCATCAAGTTTTCCCAATAAGCACTTTTACCCATTGAGACATCATCCCTGGTCCAATTTCCATAATTTTAACTTATTTGTTTTTATTTTATAGTGCTGGGGATAGAACCCAAGGCCTTATGGAAATACTAGGCCAGGGCTTTATTACTGAATTATATGTCTGTGATTAAGCATCATAATTTTTTTGTTTGTTAGGTTTTTTTGTTTGTTTGTTTGTTTTGTTTTTCCAGACAGGGTTTCTCTGTGTAGTTTTTGGTGCCTGTCCTGGATCTTACACTGTAGACCAGGTTGCCCTCGAACTCACAGAGATACATCTGGCTCTGCCTCCCAAGTGCTGGGATTAAAGGCGTGCGCCACTGCCACCTAGCAAGCATCATAATTTTTAAACACTACATTGCTATATTTTGTATATTAAATGTCTGTTAATGTGTTAAAGCCTGGGTCCCCGCAGTGGCACTACTGGGAGGTACTGTGGCCCTTTAAGAGGTGGAGCATCACCAGAGGTCCTTAGGTCACTCACTGGAAGCATGTTCTCAGGGAATGGTGACCCTGGCTCCCTCTTCCTTCTTTTGCTTCCTGACCACAAAGTGAACAGTTCTCTGCCACACACTTCCTGCCATAGCTGGCTGACTCCCCCATTAGAAGCCAAAGCAATGGGTCTGCCCAGTCCTAGACCAGAACCTCTGAAACCTTGAACCAAACATCTTTTTTGTATTTATAAGTTAATTACCTCAGCTGTTTCATCATAATGAAAACCTAAAACACTGTTTTTCTTTATAATTAAGTGCAGTAGTTTTAGCACACTATATGAGATCTGCCCTTCTCTCTTCTTGAAGCCCCCACCTAATGCTTTCCCACTGGATGCCCTCTGCCCTTGCCCCACCAGGAACATTGCTGCCCCCCTCCAAACACACCCTGCACTCCCCAAGTGCCTGCCTCTGACTGCACAGTCTCCTCTGCCCGCAATCCCTCTCCCTGCACAGGTCTCCTCAATGGTTCCTGAGACGACAAGAGATCATTCTCCAGCTGCATTTGTGTTTGCAAAGGTGAAAGCCATATTTAGGAAGCGGGATTTTGTGTGCTGCCGACTACTAGAAGCATCAAAAGGCTAGTCTTGAGGTCCAATGGGACCTGACTCCGGAGCTGCAGCACCCACTAGAGACTGAGGTCTTGGGCA